AAAATGCAAAGAAACGCATGGGAAAATTGCATTTTCGCACAAAGTTCCTATGAGCTTCTAGTGTTTTCGGCACCTGCGAAAGCTCTTGATCTGGACAAAACGCGCGTTTGGCTCGAGTTTTGGCCTCGACGCCGTCTGGCGCCAACATGAAAATGTCTCCCAGCGCACGGCCCCGTACCGGCGCCGGAACCTAGTTCTTGCAGGGTTTCTGCGGCAGTTTTCGAAGGCAACAGTATCCTTGACATCCTCGGGTCCTCGCTCGAGAAGGTGACCCACATCTTCACGCAGATCAAGGATAGTAGGGTTTAGGGATGTTTAGGGTTTAGGCGTAGTGTTTAGGATTCCTCGCTGACCCGTCCGAGCGTTCTGAGCCGTGCAGGACACCGTCATGAGCATCATGTCCAAGCTTGGAAGCCGAAGGCCTGCCACCCTCAGTGAACACCACTCAAGAATACCTTTGTGCTGTCTTCAGCTTGGCAAGTGTAATGGCTGTTGCTTGCTTGAGTCCAGCTTCGAGGCAAGATCATGTTAACGCGTTGCTTTGACATTGATGTGCTGGATTGGTAGAACTTGATACAGACAGGCGCCGGCATACTTGGGCCTACATAGAAAATAACAACTGTTCTCCGTCGGGTTGACCGTCATACCAATTGCGATGCTTCTCGCTTGACCGCCGGTTGCTGTGACAGTGAGGGTAGACGTGGAAAGGAAAGTTGGTCATTATCCATGACCATGATTTGGAGATGGTTGTCGGTATGGGCTGGTGTCGTCATACCAGATACCGATGAAAGCCGTGATTGTGCTGATGGTGATAAAAAAGAAGATGATGTTTGGGATTATGACGTCGATGCTGATATGATGGTTAGTGGTTAGCGCATGATCAGGATGCTGATGGTCATGATGTTGGTGACATAGCCTAGGTCAGGTGATGCTATAATGGCTCTCATCATGGTAACGTTCAGAACGATAACGGTGATGGTGATGGTTCTGATGGTAGAAATGACAGCTGGCATAGTGGTGGTAACGACGACCATGATGGTCAGGCAGGTTGTGGCGCTGCGCCAGCACGAATGTTACCGATGATGCAACACCTTAGAAGGAGATGATGACGACGGTGATGGTCCCGATGATGGTGAAGATGATGATGCCGGCGGCAACGATGGTGCTGCTGCCAGTGTTTGGCAGTGGTTGTGGCTCAGGGTAGGTTTGGTACCGATCCTGACGAGACTGGCGACGGTGACCTTGCTGGTCTTGGGTTGATGAGGCATTCTGTGCGGAAAGAATTTGTCAGCAATGCAGATGAACTAAACGGTTTCGATAACGGTTGTGGAGGTGGAGAACATGCTGGTTCCGATGTTGGTGGTCATCACAGCACAGCCTTGATAGCAGGGACCTGTGTCGAACGACCAATTGCCGACATAGTGATGGTGATGGTGGTCCTGATGGTCATGATCTTGGTGCTAATTGCGTTGCTTATTATGATGGGCTGCTGATTCTTGTTGCTCCTGATGCTTGAAAGCATTGTAGGGGGCTGATGTGCCAGGCTGCGGCAGGCCGGGGAGGAGGGCCGGCGCCTGCTGGATTACAGTCAGACGCATGGCGTACTGGGTTTTGAGGTTTCTTCTCCACTCTGTGTGGTTCTTCGTCCGGGGTGAAAATGTGCCCCGAGAGGCGATGTTGAAAGTTCTGTCAGCGTTCCACCACTCGTATTCGGCCTCGGCTTGATCCCACCCTGCCAAGCAGGGAGCGATGCTCCTCAGGGCTTTCTGGTCCGCGTCGTGGCCGTCGTGGTGGGTCTGGTGGTTGGTTGTCTTAGTCGTGGTGATCGTGGTCTACATGGTGCGATGCGTGGGTTTTTGGCGGTTTGGGGACCTACGCTGGCATAGCGAACTGTTGCGGTTGGAACAGTGCCCGTGAGCTTTGTGCAGCTCAGGCTGCTTGAGGGAATTGATTTCGAATGGATCGGAAGCAAGATCACAGGCTTTGTGCCTGTCCTGCAGTTTGAGTTGTCTTAACATGTGAAGTTATAATCGATTCCTCCGCCCGCAAATGCGTCACTCCCTCAGTAAGGTGAAGACGATCAAGACTCAATCAGAAAATTTGGCCAAAAGCTCAGTTGTGCAATACTGCTTCTTCATGCAGATGGGCATGTGTTCATACCTGCGTGCAAGTGCAGTCTGCAGTCTAACTGTGTCTGTGTGTTTTCAATCGAGACGAGCGAAGCTTAATGGACATGTCGTTGGCACAGTGGTCCATAGTTTAGTTTTGGTCGGCTCTGTTGTCTGGGATATGGGCCTCTAGGTTTCGGTGGTCGTGCAAGGATAGGATATAGATTTTGTGTGTTTTTGTGGTTGTAGCAACTGTCACTCCTGAGGTTCATGTCATTGATGAGCTTCATTTCTCAGATTTATTGACTATCATGTTCCTTTGCATGAATTGCTAGCACCGTCATTGAATTTGCCAGTCCAAATTAATATTGCGCATGCTCGAACTTGAAGGTATTCGCCAAGGCCAAGGCTGCTACTGTCTATGTTTGTCTGTTGTGGCAAGGTCGAAAAGGCCAACTTCATTTGCCATGATCGTCTTCGGTTACATGTCTCCCGTGTTACACATGGCGACGTCCATGTTCATGTTTATGATGTTTATTGAGGTAGAACGGCATGTGCGGACATGCACACTACTTTCGAAGGAAACCAAGACAGGAAGACCAGTCTTGCAGCACTGCTACTTGATGTGGCTTGTCTCGTCCAGTCTATGCATGGAGAAGGTAGTCTGGCTTCAGTGGTCCTTCTTCATTTGCGGGGTCAGAAGCGATTACACGACGTCTACTCAGGGAAAAACCGCGTAGGGAATCTTGTACCTTGATAGGATTAACAAAGTTTGGGCTTTCTCATCACATCAAGATCCGGTTTGTTCCTCCTTCTGCGTAGATGCAGCGACAGGAACTGCGTGTGCATGTGCCTAGGTGACAAAGGTCGTGTACATGTAGCTAGTGCCCAGTAATGCCAAAGAGACAGTTCTTGATGAAGGTGTGTCTGTGTATGTATGTATGTATGTGTGTGTGTGTGTGTCTCTGTGTATGTAAGTGCATGTGCGCCTCTGCGCAGTGTGGATAGTCGCTTCCACAAGTGGCAAAGGCATGTTTTATCTACCGAGGGCGATGTTCTCGCCTATCAACAGTTGAGGAAGTTCTGAGCCCTGCAGGTTGACATTGATACCGTCCTGGGCCCAATGCTGGCACACATGGACAAGACTGGCCAGGCAGGGCAAGGGCTGGGCGAGGGGCCGACAGGGTACTCCTGTAATGCCAAGTGTTTGCTACGTGGCTCACGTGCTGGGCCGTTGGGTTCGAGGCGCTGAGCTTGCACGGGTCGTGTGGCGAAGAGCGACGCGCGGAGAGGTGTCTTTTGTGGGAGAAGAGGCCGAACAAAGCCGACCTGGGCCATGGCCCGGCTTCCGGAGCTGACGCTGTTACGCGAGCTTCGCCTCTCCGCGTCTGTCATGGCAGTTTCCATTCTCTTGGAGCCGTACTTGGAGGACTGGCGTCGGCGGCCGCGTATGGCCACAGCGGTTCTGAAGCGATTGGCGAAGCAAGGTCGATCTCAGCTCGCAGCAACGGTGTTGTCAGCCATGGCAGCACATGGTGTGGAGACGAATGAAATCCATTATAGTGCAGTGCTCGCAGCGTATGCCTCTGGTGGGCAGTGGCTTTCGGCTTTGGCTTTGGCCCAACGCATAGGACGGTCAGGCATGCAGATGGATGCAGTCGGCGTTGGAACACAGATGCGGGCTTGTGCTCGAAGTAAGCATTGGGACTGGCCTCTGTCTCTGCTGATGGACCTGCGCAGCTCTGCTTGTGAATTGGATGTGGTCGTCTACAACACTTGCGTTGCCTGCGGTATCTGGGAGAGCTCATGGTTCCTACTGAGAGACATTCGACGAAACAAGCTTGAGCCAGATCATCTCACGTTCAATGAACTGTCGGCGTCATCGTGGCCAGCGTCTGTCTTCATCTTGATGTGCATGGCCCACGAGTTTCTGATGCCCGATGTGTTCTGCTACAACTCTGTCATCGCCGAAGGGGGCGTAGGCTGGCAGGGAGGGCTGAATATGGTGGACACCATACAAGCATCAGGACTTCGTCCGGATGTTGCTACGTATGATGCCTCGATAGGGGTTTGCGGTGGTGCCCACTGGCAGACGGCTTTCTCATTGTGGACCATCCTTGTGACCGCGTGCCGGGCAGACGTCGTGGCACTTACTGCGGTCCTGGGCACCTGTGCGGATATCTCGAAATGGCAGGCCTCCTTTGGGGTTTGCCAGGAACTACAGGCAGTGGACCTAATCTCCTGCAACGCGTTAGTCCATGCGTGTGCTAAGGGCAGCATGTGGCAGGATGCCGTGTTCCTGTTCGATGTAGCACCCCGGAATCGAGTTCTACCAGATGAGGCAACACAGAGCTCTCTTCTCACATCGTTGTCGGCCGGATCCTGCTGGGAGCTTGCACTGTCGGCCTTCCTTCAATGGTTCGGGAAGCCGTCGGCCCGCACGCCTCTCGTTTGCAGCGCACTCTTGAGTACCTTGTCTGCAGGCTGGCAGTGGTTGTTTGCCTTGCAGCTCCTGCGCGTCATGGCAAAATCCAGCGTGGAAGCCAGCCGGGAGTGCCAGAACGCGGCCATCGACGCCTGTGGCCGCGCCTCGCAGTGGCAAATGGCCGCCGCTCTCTTCTTCGGGAGTTCTCCTGCTAACTCCATCGGCTTGAACTCGGCCGTCGCTGCCAAGGCCCGGGCGGCCGAGTGGCAAATGGCCGCTTTGGTGCTTGGGTCCTTCGCTTCCCGAAATCTGCAGAGGAATGGGATCAGCTTCAGTTCCGCGGGCCACGCTCTCGCCAGATGCCTCCTCTGGGACCGCTCCTTGCATGCCTTGAAATTCACGAAGCAAGCGGGGGTGCTGCCGTTCCATGCGGCCTACAACTCTGCGGCTTGCTCTCTAGAGAAGAAGCACTGGTCCCGAACACTCGGCCTCCTGAAGGCCATGGGGATCCTGCACGTGGAAAGAGACGACGTGGCTTGCAGCAAGCTCTTGAGTTCATGTGCCAACACTGCTCAGTGGAGATTGTCTTTGTGCATAGCAGGCCAGATGCCTCGCAATTCGTATTTTTGCACTGATGCAGTATGCACGTGTGCGGTCAGATCTTTGACCAGTGCGTTGAGGTGGACGGATGCACTGGAGCTCTGGCTCGGTTCCACGTCCTCCATTCCTTCCGCAACTTTATTTTCAAGCTTCGTGCTGGACTGCATACTCCAGGGCTACATGGCGTCTGGCCATGGCCATGTGCAGCTAGTTCCCTCTATGCTCAGTCGGTTACAGTCCACGCCCTTCTTAAGGAGTGGCTCTCCGCTCAGGCAAAAAAGGCGGAACGAGTCCACGGATGTGGCTAGGACTAGCGTTGCTAGATATTGGAAGCAACAGGTGCTTCGAAGGTCTTCATCAGGTAGCAGACGAAGGTTGCGCGAGTCCGGCAGACGCAAACTGGATGGGCAAAGCCTTGCAGGGATCAAGCCTCTCCCACAGAATGGAGGTTGTGGAGTTGGGCCGGCTTGCCTTCAGGGACCTAGCGGGACTTTAGGGCGCTGGCTGCGCGACATTCGTAGTCGCGAGTCGCGGATCCTGAAGGCCTTCCTGCCTTCCTACCAGGATTCCATACTCGTACGTTACATGCAATCGAGCAAGTCCACACGCATGTTTGTCTGTCTGGCTGCCATGCATGCTGACATTCATACGATGCGTGCATCTATGCATGGGGCTGGCTGGCGGGATGGCTGGCTGGATGGCTGGATGTCTGTAAAGACTGAGCATCAGATTATCATATGATTGTGTACGTACATTCGTCCTGAAGTAGATCTGCACAGGTGCATTTTCCGCCAGTGGTCAGTAAACTCATTGCACTTCCTTGCACGTGAGTTTGAGTAGTATCTCATCGCGTGCTAGCACAAAGGTTCTTGTGTACGTACACGAACGAGTCGGTATTCGCGCACATATGCCTCAACACATGTATCATGTATCTGCGTACAGCTGTCGGTGTGCGCAAGGCTTCAGACATGTGCTTCAGAGACCTGTTTGCAAAGATGCTCTGACCTCGCCCCTATTTCTGCCGTCCCGTGCCAGTCTGTACGACGCTTGGATTTCGTGACCGAGGCTCCCTGCCACAACTATTCTTGCCACCTGTCAACCAGGCTTTCAACAGTAATTAATATGCAGGTTGTGCTCAAGGCTTGCGCTTGAGTGATGTGGCCGACAGGTAGCTAGCATTCAGGTGGTGCGGTGAGTGCGGTGGAAGTATTACTTCTGAGGATGAAGAAGGCAAAAGCATGCACGTCTACAGCAGATGTTCTTCACTGAATGACGGGCGATGTATAGGGACCTTAGATGTGTATTGCAGACCGCATCATTGGGGCTTTTGTGTGGCTTCTATCGACATTGCGGATCATTGCGGCAGGCACAGAGCTCCATTTCAGGCGCCGTCTCCCTGAAGGAGCAAGCCGCTGCCTGGCTCAGATGCCCCACGCGGAGCGATGCGGAAAACTCCCTGTGAGACAGGGATGTCTGAAAACTTAGGAGAAAAACAGCCGGGCCATCGGCAAGATCATACCGACATGGCAAGCTGTTGAGGGCACCGCGGTCAGCATGTGCCCGTCAGTGCTTGCAACGAAGGCGGGGGCCGTTGGATGCCCCTTTCCTCGTCGCATGTGGACTCTGAACCCAATCCCTATGCCCTAAGCAGTTGGCCCTTTGGCATCCTCAAGCCTTGGAAGACCGGAGCGGAGGGGAGAGTGCCAGGACACCATTGGACACCTGCAGTGTCGCACGACGGAGTTCGTGAGCAAAGCCGGGCTGTCCTCTTGGGTCCCATCGCAGGCCAGCACCGTGGGATGGGGGCCCCATCAAAGACAGCTCGAGGTAAGCAAACAAAAAGAAAGACCACAACCGTGCTGTCAGAAGCAACCGAAGCTGACTTGACACACGATCCCACGCATGGCTCTGACGCCTGGGCACAAGTGCAGGGACCAAGCGCAGGCGAAGCCCAGCGAAGTTTTCCACAGTGGATTTAAAGCCTTTCAAGCTGGAAGATCGAGTGCCCTGCAGGAATAAATGTGTGGCCTTGCATCGTTTCGCACCTGGGTGATCCCGGGCTCTGGTCCGGGACCCCCAGGCTGCCGTGAAAAATTGAGATGCATAAGAGGACCTCAGTCTGGAAACGCCTCTTCTAGAACAGTTTGCACCTCAAGGCTACAAGGCCACAAGCAGATGCAACGTTTTACGGGGGTATGCCCTGCAGTGAGGAGGGGGTCCAAAGTAAGGGGCTTTGGCAGGTGACGGACATCGTGGGCAACTGCCCAGCCACGTTGCCGACGACGGAGGAAGCCGTGGCGCAGGGCTGCCCGCCTCTCGACAGCTTGTGGCCACTTCGTGAGTCCGGTCTCCGGGGATTCGCCTGTGCCAAGGGAGAAGGCCCAGTCCGCCAACGTCAAGGATGTACTCGGAGCCTCGGCAGGGAGTCAAATCAGTGGCCGGGTAGGTGGCAGTGCTAAGCCGCTAAGCCAACAGCACCCCGCTTTACCGCTTTTCTCACAGTGCACCTTCGCCGATGCAAAGCTCAACACCGTCTCCTTGCAACAAAACCTGACTCCAATGCCTGAAGCCCTTTTGGATGCCTTTCCGCTAAGAATGCCCCGGGCCCGAAGTCTCCACACTTAGTTGACAGAAGCACTTCCTTCCCAAATGTGAAAGAAAGATCCTGGCCACAGGACCCCCCCGCCACTGAAGCGAGCCATTCGTCTACACGATTATATTATATTGTATTATTATTGTGGTTATATTAATACTATATTATTACTATATTATTGCCATATTATTACTATATATTACTATATTATTATTACTGTTTATCTCACTGGACTGCAAGAAGGTGAGCACTCTGAGACCCTCGGTTGGGCCATGGCCGTGGGCGGCGGTGTGGTCGGCCTGGGCATCTGTGGAGGAGCGGTGCTTAGCAAAGAAAGGCCAGTGTAGGTACAGTACAGTACAGTTTTGTGCGCTATCCGTGACCCTTGTCTTTGCTAAAGTTTGGATGAAAAGACCGGTGCAACATGGGCACTCGCTTGCAGGAGGCGCCGCTATAATGAAGAGCAAAGCGAGCAAGGACGAGGAGGTGCTTTCGGCTGTGGCTTTGAGCCCCGCGACGTCTCAGAGATTCTGGCTTTGACTGAGGAGTATGACTCCGAAGAAGATGAGGAAGAGAATCAGACATTGAATGGCTGAGGCCGAGCTCGGAACCGTCTGTGGAGTAGTCCCGGTGCGTGGCGGTGCACAAAAGATTGGAATTGCATCTCGATGGTACTTGGTCGGGTTTGTTCGCATGCTCTCATCCACGATCCCGGCCAGGGCAGTCTCACCTGGCTGGGTTCAGTGCCGAGATCCTGCGTATCTGGACTGCCCCTATGCCGAAGTAACCCAAGTATGATCGTGCCTCGTCTAGATGCACTGATAATCAGTTGCGACTAGATGACTAGATGCACGTACTATCTATCGCACTGGCTCGAGAAACTCGGATCGTAGCAAAGCCATGGTTCTTCCGTGAGCTGGTAAAACATCCCAAGAACAGCTCAGGCCTCACGTGACATGCAGCAAAGCAGACATTGAGCACTGGCCAATCCAGACATCAGCCCCCAGCGCGAGCAGTGCATTGTATTTCGGATGCGAGCCCATGCCCCATGGCTGTGTGCATCGATCTCAGTCCGGGGAGCTCTGTCTGTGGCCAGCTTAAAAGCCAAGAGCTCTTCTTACACTAGCAAGCGCAGATGCTTCAATATACCCATAAGATACTAAGAGACGCGATTCTTTGGGTCAGGCACGGGCCAAGCTAGGGTGCCAGCCCAAAACCGGTGAGGCGAAGACTTGGCCCTTGAATCCTTGAAGAGCCTCGCAGAGCCCTGCCCTTTTTTTGTGAATCCCGCCGAGAGAGTCTGCCGAACCTCCAGCCTCCAGTCGTCCCTCGGCCCAAGCACTGCGAGGAGCGGCAACGCCAGGAGGATCGCAATGGAACAAGGGAGGAGCTCTAGAGACCCTATAAGCCCTGAGCTACCTTGCGGGGGTCTTGAGAGCACAGGGCAACTGATTTAGGCCCTGGCTTATAACAAGAAGTCTACTGGATGTAGGTCAGGTTCCCTTATCTGTCGAAGTGATTCCTTGGCCCTGCAAAGTAATACAGAACCACCAGCAGTAGGCTATAGGCCTCAAGAATAGAGGATTGAACTGAAACCAGCAAATGACACGAGCAAGGCCACAGCGGCCTCAAGAAGATGCCGGACTCGCGTTGACCGGGCGAAAGAGGCGGCTTTTATGCATTGGAATGACGCTTTGCCCAGGCTTTGCATTACGCTTTGCTTATGCTTTGTGTGCCGTTTGCTTACGGTTTGAAATCGAGCAAGTGGAGCTTCGAGGTTGGGGATTACGGGTTCAGGGCTCAGGGATTCGCATGTGGAGTAAACGCTGGGCTGCGGGGTTTAGGAACTGACATGACGGGCTGGGTAGAGGTTTGAGTTTCAACAGAATGCCGTTGTAGCAGGCTGAATGCTTAATGTGCGAGACTTGCGCCTGACTGGAGACCCACCCTGGTCGCGGATCCTCACCAGCTCTTGGTAGGACGGATAGCTTCCACCGACTGATAGCCTATGATGAGGCTTCGACCCGCCTTGTCACTAAAAAGCACAGTTGCAGAATGAAGAGGCGGGTCATATTGAGTTATCTCTCACGCCTTGGAACTTCATGCTGTCAACAGGAGGCTGTAATGCCCCCTGAACCCGGAATCACGCTTCGTCCTCGTCCCCGATGCAGGTAGGACAGTGATGTCAGTGCTGTACCTGGTCTGCGATCTCGCAGCTTGGCGCAATCGTCTGATCCAGAGCTTTCTGCGACTAGGGCTTGACTTCAGACAGAAGTGTGGAACACGAGAGTTCTGAACTTGCAGGAAGAGCCACCGAGTTGTTTCTGTGGGCCTGCTTGGATGATTCTCTGTGATGTGCTTCAGTTGCAGGACAATGCGGTCTTCACCTTCACTGCAACTATGCGGACAACATGGGAGTTCTCTAGACTGTCGTCGTTTCATCAAGAGAACGGGAAGGAGCAGCTCGTATGTTGCAGAGGTGGTAAGATGCAAGAGCCAAGTGGGCGTGTACACTTGCGCATGGGTTTGCATGCGCAAGTATAGTCACAAATCCACGAAGTATAGTCACGAATCCACGTATGGATTTTTCACAGTGTATACAGTACGTATACATGTAAGGAAGCGAATAAATGGATAGGTAAATGACCAAATAGAACAAACACATAAATGAATAAATAGGCAACCGACAAACAATTACGACATATATACATATATACATATATATATATACACATACACACACACATACAAATATCACTGTGACTATCACTATCACTATCTCTAGCTCTAGCTCTGTCTCTAGCTCTATCTCCATCTCTGTCTTTACCGCTATCGCTACCGCAATCTTTATCTCTATCCCTCTCTCTCTCGCCATCTCTGTCTCTATCTCTGTTTCGATCTCTATACACACAGAGATGCATGTGTGCATGTATGTATATATATATACACATGACACGTGCACACATACATGTGTATATATATATACATATATATATACATATATATATATATTCTAGTCATAAAAACTAGGAAGACATAACGCAAAGCCAAAAAGAACAGACACGTACCGGGTCTGCCTCCCTTTTTTGCACGTCCGCCCATCCACTAGCTATCTGTCCGTCTGCTTGTCTCTCTATTTATTTGTCTGTTCCTTTATCTGCCTCTATCTGTTTGTTTATCGGCCTATCTATTTGTCTTTCCATCTACGACTCTATCCATCTTTCAGTCTAGCCTGTCCATCTGTTGGTACGTTTATTTGTTCATGTATCTATCTTTTTGTTTTTAATTCTATGTGCCTATCTATCTGCTTATGCGACTATCCATCCGTTTGTCCGTTTGTCCATTTGTCTGTCCGTCTGTCTGTTCGTCTGACGGTCTGTCTGTCTGTCTGACTGCCCGTCTGTCTTGCTGTCTGTCTGTCTATCCGTTTATCTGCCAGACTACCTATCTATTTATGCATGGCTGCATGGCCGCATGGCTGCATGCAAACAAACAAACAAACACACATACACAGAGACAGACACACAGACACACAGACACACGGACACACGGACACACGGACATGCGAAAGTACACTAGTACAGAAAGCACACCAAACTACCCTAAAGTAGATTCGTGCACAGCTCACTCAACCTTGAAGTAAAGTCAGCCCTGAAGTTCTCAGGCTCCTTTCTCCACTCAGGGCAAAGTCATCTTGCGCCACCAAAGTGGCAAAGTCGAGGGGCAGGATAAGACGTGTTATTTTCACAGTGTGTGTGTGTGTGCGTG